GGCGAGGGCGGCGGCGGCAGGAAGTCGGGGGGCGGCGGCGGCAGGAAGTCGGGGGGCGCGTCCGCGAAGTCGAAGTCGGGGGGAGGCGGCGGCGGCGGCGGGAGGTCGTCAGCCGGGGCCGGGGCCGGGGCCTGCGGGAGCTCGGAGGAGCGGCGCACGGGCGGCGGCGGGGGCGGGCCGGACCTGGCGGGGGGTGGGGCCCGCGCGCCCGTGCCGTGGTTGCCGTGGTTGCCGTGGTTACCATGGTTACCGGGGGCGGGCGTCCGGTCCTGGAAGAGGGCGACAGCGAGGTGAGGTGAGCCTGCCGGGGTCCGGGGGCGCCCGCCGCCTAAGGCAGCCTGGGGGGGGGGGCGAAGGGCGGCCCCGGCCCCCCGGCCCCGGCTCGCGCAGGGGGCGCTCTCAGGGCCGGGCAGGCCCGGGCCGGGCGTCGGCGGCGCTGGAGGACTGGGCCGCCCGCCGCCCCTCCTCCGGAGGCCCGGGCCCGAGCGCCTCACCGGGGCCAGGAACCGCCCGGGCGCACGCGGCACGCGGCCGGCGCCCCTCGGCCCGGGGCTTTGGTTCGCCTCGGCGTCGGAGAGCGAAGGTCTTCCCGCCCGAGCCCTGGAAGGAGCCAGTTGCAGGCCTTGCTCCCCTAGGCCCTAACCGCGCAGGGCGAAGGCGCCCGCCAGGCGCACCCCCAAACCCCTGCCTCCTCCTCCGGTTATGATGACATCAAGTGAGAAATATGTGAGCTCCAAAAAGTCAAATAACGACGTGCGTGCTATTGGTAAAACCCAGAAGGCACATCTGGTATTGTCGTCATCTGTCAACTGAGGAACTGGTAATGATGATGATGGTGATGAGTATTTATACGAAGCACCTTCCCCAGAAATTTCAGGCAGCTGAATTGATGAATTACGTTTTGTTTTTTTTTTTTGGTACCGGGGATCGAACTCGTGTTCTTGCGCTTGCGCAGCAGGCGGCGGAACCACCGAGCCAAATCCCGGCCCAGGCAGCTGAATTGAATGTCATTGGTTTCGTGATAATTACCACTCTTGACATTTCAGCAGGCTTCCATTTTATTTTTTCTGCTTAATAAACTCTTACTAGAGGTTAAGATGAAATTTAAAAGTTTTTTTTCCTAACACAGTGCTTTATGATTGAATTTCTTTAAATTGCTGAACAGGCTGCTTGGGAATTAGAGTTCACACATGGTAAAATGCTTTCTGTTTTGGCTTTCTTTTATTTGGCCTTTCTAAATGCTTCCTTTAAGTTGATGTTATAAAAATAATTAAAATAATAATAGCTGAAAGTGCGTTGTATGACACAATTGTTAGGCTTGAGGAGATAACAAGAACACGAGAGAAACACAACTTTGATAAGCCTACAGTAGTTCTCAAAAATTATAAAACATTCAACAAATATCAACATTTAATTGTTTCTGCCACTGATTGATGGAAAAAGGGGAGGAGTGAATGAGGGGAATGACTGAGCTCAGGCTGCCAGTAGCTAGGTGGTGTGCTGCTGTCAGTTTTTGAAGGCAGCTCAGCGTCACACAGGGCCAGTGCGCAGGGAAATTCATATAGTCACGGGATGTTATGAACAGGACAGGGTTAATGACTAAATTAGTGACTGGCTACGATTTTTAGACTGATTTAAATGAATCTTCATTAACGTGATGGAAAAAGTTAGGGAGAATGCAGTATCAGTTTGGATGTAATTTCACTGTGTTGTAATGGTGACAGGCCGGAAGCCAAGGCCTCCCACCCCTACGCAAGTGCTCTCCTGCTTGGCAGTGATTTAAAAACGCATTTTCTTCTCCATCACCCCAAGGACATATGTTGGATATCAATAGGAAAATACAAAATATGAAATGCACCTTATATAGTGTAACCCTTTCAGTAGCCTTCTCACCCAGTTTTGGGGCTCACCACTTCATACAGGTCTTCTTTTTTTTGTTTTGGTACCAGGGATTGAACTCAGGACCTTGCGCTTGCAAGGCAGGTAGCAGAACCACTGAGCCAAATCCCCGCCCGGCCCTGGTTTTCACTTTTGATTCTAGCCTGGATAATTTAACTATAAAAAATACAAAGAAATCTCCTAAGTGAAATTACAGTATGGTGGGTTCTCACTGGCTGGAAACAAGAGAAGGTGCCAGAACACTGCTTCTGGCTTAGAAGGTGGGCTTGGGGCGCTGATCTGCTGCAGTTTGGGTCGGTTCCCCTCTGGTCCTACCTTGCTGGCTTCGGCCTGTCTCTGGGCCTCCTGGAGAACAGCGCTTAGGTGAGGTGCAGCCTGGGGAAGCTGACCATTGTGCTGGGTGGTGCTGGTCCTCAGTCCTGAGAGGGAGAAAGAGAGGCATAGTGTGGACAGGCAGTTTCATGGCTCTGGAAAGTGAAGCTGAAATCACAAAGCAGCGTGACTCGCTGAAGCAAAAGGAAAGGTTCACAGGTGAGCAGTGGAGCACAGGGCCTCACGAGAGACCTGAGGCCCAGCTGGGGAGGTGCTCAGCCGCACCTCCAAAGCTCTGGTTCAATCCCCAGCACCAACAGTGAATGTTTTTTTAACAATCTAAGGTTCTATGGCAGAAGTTTCTGTGGGAGTCAGCAGAGAGGAGCTGGGCTGCAGCTCAGCAGTAAGTGCACAGCATGTTTGAGGCCGTGTTTGATCCGCAGCACCAAGTAAGTGAATGCGTAGGATCCCAGAGAGTGAGCATGCTTGATAAAGCCCACAGAGTAAAATTCATGAGTTGGGACCCAGAAGGAAAATATGCCCTGCTTGTAAAGACTTTTGCTTTGTAATTAGAGAATGAACCTTGAAAATCTATTTTTAAATAATCTTGTTGAAGATTTTTCTGAAATGTATTAATCCAACTTCATATCGGGATGAGAACAGAAAAGGCTTTTTAACATTATTCTTTAACAAACTTTAGACACAGAAACAATAGACAGAGGCAAAATGTGCAAATCCCTGATATATCCTGGAATTAGATTGTTTCCCCCAAAGACCTGGTAGATACTTGTTTTGTTTTCCTTGCATTTTAATTTACTCTTTCACCACAGAAGTATCACTCAGTGAAGGTTTACGGGTTTATGGCTTTCAAAAGTCAGGCAGAAGAAGCTGCATGTTGATTTTTCTGCCTCTTTAGAGAGCATCCTGGGGACAGAGACTTTAAGAGTTTTCCAACTTAAAAATGGAAATACTGGGCCGGGGATTTAGCTCAGTGGTTTCGTCGCCTGCTGCGCAAGCGCAAGGACCCAAGTTCGATCCCCAGTACCAAAAAAAAAAAATGGAAATATTGGGGCTTGAACCTAGGGCCTTTGCACTGAGCTACATCCCCAGCCCTTTTTACTTTTATTTTTAAATTTTGAAACAGGGTCTCACTGGGCTCAAACTTGTGATCCTCCTGCCATAGCTTCCCAGAGTGCTGGGATTGCATGCATGCACCATCATGCCTGGCTAAGTTTTCCAACAATTTGGGGAAACCACTGATCTACATAACCCAAAGAAGGCCACCAAAAACTTCAGGACATTGGAGAGAAGAAGGTAAGCTTTATGAGGAATAAGGAGTTAAGTAGTCTCCAAGTATTTCTCTACAAACTGTAAGGAGTGAAAGGAAAAATTTGTACAGGAGAGAAGCTGCACCACACCTTAACTGTGTGGCCTCTAGGCGCAGTTAGACATGGACGCCTTCGATTGTGGCGCCTGAGGACAGGAGAAAACTCATAGCGTTCCTGCCCAAAGCACTAATCTGAAATGCGATTTGAGGAAATATACATCTAAACCGAGGAACATCTTCAAAGTAAATGGCTCTTACTGTTTTAAAAAAGGCAAATGTCTTGCTATTCGGAGAAAAGCGGAGGCACTACTCCAAATGAAAGGACTTAGAGACTCGAGAGGACTCAGTGTAAGTACAATACCCAATCCCAGGCTGAAGCTGGGCCAGGAAAAATACGCTGCTGTCAGTCTATCATGGAAACCAGTGCCAAAACGAAACGTGGACTGTGGTTCAGAGAAAAGCATTCTATCAACATTACATACTAAGTTTCCCGAATTGAAACCTGTGGCTGCGGTTAGGGAGAAAGTAGCCTTGTTTAGGGTGTGCAAATTGAAGATTTAAGGGACAGAGGGGCAATACTATTTCTGCAACTCTTCTGTCAGCTTGAAATGACCCCAGAATAAAATGAAAAGAGATGAATATTCGTGTCCATTTCTGAATTTAAGAGTGCTGACTAGAAACATTTGCTAAAAGCATAAAGTACTAAAAAGCGCCTCCACGGCTTCCTCAATGGAAAAGAAAACATAAGCCACTTATCTGATAAATTACTGTCGGTGGATACGCTGGAGATAGAACAATGCCCCGTGCTTTGTTTCTCAGTTGGGAAACCCTGCAGAAACACCGATCCCAGGTGGTTTCTGACTCCAGCCGGCAACTTTCACTACTTCCACCGCTTCTCCCCTCGGCTGAGTGAGCGGGAAGAGAGCGAGGGCTGGAGGCAGGGAGAGGAGCAGGGGAACCGGCTGCTGCGGCTGGGGAGGAATCAGGCAGAAGGGACCGGGCGCAGGCTCCCCCATGGCCAGTGACTGTGCACCGTGCCCCTCACGGAGATGAGAGGGGTGGGGCAGGAGCTCCACGGTACACCGGTGCCATCAGTGCCCGGGAGGGAACAGCTCGGCGGGAACGCCGGCAGGGAACTCGCTGCTCACGTCCAGTGAAGGGCTCTTCAGATGCTGGGTCCAGCCTCACTGTAACCTCCACACTTTCAGACCGCTTGTACCCTTCGTGACACTGGAGCTGGACCGTCACCTTGACTGGCTTGGGAGCTGGCTGCCCACAGGAGTAGCAGAGCGGGCTTCTGGGTGTGTACTGGTGGGTCGTGGAGGTGTGGCATCCACCTCTGGCCCCTCATCTTTCCTCCCTGGCACTGCTCCCCTGTTCTGTCTCCTGGCCACCGTGAATTAAGCATCCTGGCTCTACCATGATGATTCTTGCCTTGGAGCTGACCATGGACTGAAGGCCCTGAAACTGTGAGCCCAATTAACCTCTCCTTTAAGTTGTTGGTGCTGGGTATTGTGTCCCAGCAAGAGGAATGTTGACTAATACACCCCTTGAAGCAGCAACAGACACATAAACTGGAAGACAATAATCAGAACCCTTGTGCTAGAACTGGTTCCAGTTCTTTCCACTGTTACTTCTCATAAACATAATGTGTTTGGATCACAGCTCAGCCACACAGAAGATGCTAGATGCTGGCTTCTCCCATCTTCAGGTTCCTCAGCTATGGAGTGAGGATTATAATACATACTCTGTATGCTGTCTTAAGAATCAGAAATAATACATTCAGTCCTCTGTATCCAAGGGTTCCACAACTACAGATTCAACCAACCACCAAACAAAAATATTTAAAAAACTTTGAAAAAAATTACATCTGTATTGAACATGTGAACACTTTTCCTTGTCATTATTCCTAAACAATACAGTACAATAGCTATATAAATAGCATTTACATCATATTAGGCTTTATAAATAATCTAGAGGTGACAGCGTGAGAGGATGTGTAGTTTATATTCAAATACTATGGCATTTTATGCAAGGCACTTGAGCATCTGCAGATTTTGGTATTTATGGGGGTCCTGAAGCCAATCCACCATAGACACCGAGGGACAACAATACATGCAAAGCAGCCCATAGACCCACTCCCTGCCTCAGTGCCCTGTTCTTAAAAATATAAACAAGTTTCTGCTACATTACCCCTAAAGGGTGGTGTATAGCATTGGCTATGAGATTTTAGCTATGAAGGCACCGAAGCAAAACACCAGGGCAAGATCTCTTCTGTTGTTTTCTGGGTACTCGTGGAGCCTTGGACAAACTAGTATTTGTACTCTGAATACATACCTCCCTACTAGCTCACCCTAAATCCGTGATCAGTACCTTATCCACAAACATAAAAAGTGGCCGAAGCATTGTTTTGCTTTGTGTAAGAATACAGATCCAGAGGTGTTCACGTGGGTGGGAGAGGCAGGGGCCAGGCTAAGCCTCGCCACACACAGAAATTATTCTTTGTGTCTGTGAAGTCTGGTGTGGCGTGTGCTGGACGCGCTCGAACCTGGTGCTGAGCGCAGAGTGTGCAGTGGAATCTCCCCCTGCTCAGTACCTGTGGGAGGCTGAGCTGCTGTAGCCGTGCTGACGGTGCCCAGGTTCGTCCACCGGGAGGCAAGTCCAGCCCTTGCCACAGCCCGCTGATAGTTCTCATGGAGAGTCTTCCCATACTAGGGAGGGAATACAAAGGAGGGAAGGAATCTGTTCACTTCACTTTCTCCACTCAATCGCTATATACACATCGAGGAAGAAATACTCCTCGATTACTCTTGTCACTCCTTGCCCAAGTTGGCTCTTTCTGTAGTTCAATAAAAAACTGATTATTTTTCACATGTTAAATAATTTTCCAGATCAGCAAAATCAGTTCATTGTGCCATCCACACGCTAGAGGAGAGCTTAGGCCAAGCCCTTCTGATTGTGTCTTCACACGTACCTGACTCCGCTACCAATTCAGTCTTGTGTCTCTCCCTCCCTCCCTCTCTCCCTCCCTTTCCTTCTTTCCTCTCCCTCTCCCTCTCCCTGCCCTCCTCCCCTCTCTTCCTCTCCTGTGCAGGAGATCCAACCCCGAACTTGGCCCACGCCAGGCAAGCATTTTACCGCTCAGCTACACGCCCAGTCCAGTCTTGGGCTTCTTAGTCGCACACTAAGTTCTCAATCCTCTCAGTAACTATCTGAAAAGTTTCATTTGACAGCCAGGCCTCGGCTGTCAGGTGAGTGAGAGGGCCATGGGGTTAGCCCTCCCGCCTACTTAAAGAACTCAACGGGCAGACAGATGAGACGCCCAGCAGCTGGACCCGTCAGGAAGCTGGCTGGCAGGTCCCCGGACAGATGGGAGCCCGAGCTCTCACCTTGGCGATCCTTATTCCCGTGACCCACTGGTTGAGAGTTCTTGCATCATCGCAGCAGAGGTACTTGATGTACTGAGACTCCTTCTGAATTTGGGGGTGCTGGACGGAAGCAATTTCAAAGACAGCTTATGAACTTCATTTCTTAGGAGCTCAAAGAGACCTTCCAAATAACTTTTAAAAACTAATAAGGTGTCTGATTGATTGAGGTGGAGGCAAAAATTATTGGTAGTAATTTTAGGACTAGGAAAAGAAGTACTTTTTTTTTTTTTTTTTGGTACTGGGGATCAAACTTGGGACCTTGTGCTTGCAAGGCAGGTGGCGGCACCACTGAGCTAAATCCCTGGATCCAGAAGTACTTTTTAAAATGGTTAAACTCTGAAAGGATGTAAGAAACCTGTTACATGATTTATCATAAGCACCATAAGGGAATTTACTTAATGTAGTTTTTTATGTCACAGAGCTAATGCCCACATGGATTGTGGTTTCGTGACTCCCCAAACCTAGTCCAGGGTTATTCTGCTACCAGCAACTCAGAGTTTTGCAATGATATTCCTCAACTGTTAGTTCTCATCCTAATGAGCCAATGGATTGCAGAAAAAATGTTTGCATCTGCTCTCAAGTAGCACTGAGCAAGGGCTTGGGAGGAAGAGCGCGTCACCAGGCCTCCTGGGAGCTCAGAGAGTAACAGTGAATGGCAGATAGGACAGAGGGAGAGGGAAACCCGCATCCTTCCCTGTGGCTCCCTGAGGGCCCTTGGAACCCTGTTTATGCTGCTGACGCAGTGTGCCCCACGGGGCCAGGACTCTCGTCTGGCTCATTCACTGAAGACCCAGGCCTGGAGCGCAGTACGTGTTCCTGTCCAGGCGCCAAAGTAATTGTGGGAAGAACTAAATAAAATCAGTCTTTCTCTTTCTCTTTCCTCTTTCTTTCTTTCTCCCCCCGCCCTTCTTTGTTTTGGTTTTTTGGAGACAGAGTCTTCTCACTATGTAGCCCAGGCTGGCCTGGAACTCATAAAATATTTCTTATTCAGCCACATGTGCTGTAGCCACAAGGTGACAGGGAGACAACCACATTCTGAAATATGTGCTAGGTCAATTTTCAGGGATCATGGTAACTTGTAACTAATTTTGTTGTGTGGAGGGAATTATCGGCTACAGCCAGGGCGTGCGCATGTGATGTGCATGGTACCGCTTCTTCCTGCACTCCATGGAACACTTTGTTAGTCCAAACTAGGTGTAGGATAAATGCAGGTGGCATGAACTACCGGGGGTCCTGAACGTGAACTGGGAATCGAAGGCAGGAAGCGTCTGTGCTCCTAGCGGGTGGGACAGCGGTGAAGGAGCAGTTTTCCCGGGGGCGGCACAGCCCGCTCCCTGCTGCTGCTGTGTGCTCACTGGGCTCTGGGAAACGACTGACCCTCAGGGATCCTAGCCAAGGCCTTTGCACGTCTGAACTCCAGCTGGAAACTCAGCGGAAGCTCCCAGACTCGCGACCCTGCTGGTCCACCTTTGCAGGCTTCCGGCCGTGACACTGCTGGCCTGGGCCAGAATGGACAATGAGACACACAGACTGCAAGGGTGTGGTGAAAGCTTAGTAGTTTCTGATTTTAAGGATGAGAAAACTGGTGCAAGAAGTTGCTATGTGTTTCTCGACTTACCTAACATTTCTGTATTTATCTTACGCTATTAAGCCCAAATACCAGACGTGGAGGCTATCACAGAAAAATCCAGAAGACACAAAGAATTCCTCTTTTCGGCCTTTTGAAGCAACTGAGGAAAGTCTACTCTGATGCTGTTATATTTAATAGGCTGCTTCCTTTATTTAGGTCCCTTCCTCCTCAGAATTGTCCCCAGTTCATTTGCTTAGGCATCATGATTTCTCTCTCCTGGGAGTAAAACAGCTGCTCCCTGGCTCTGAAACGGGGCTGTTGTTCTCCGATCTGACCGGCAGATGGCAGGAAACACTTCTGAATGGCGGCTGAAGATTTCACCGTTACATCAGTTCAGTGCTTGCTCGCTAATTCAGAATGCTCAATTTTAGTTCTGTAAATGTTGCCCCAATAATAATGTTCTTTGGAGACCCTCAAAACGGGAAATCTCTACCAACTCAGGTAATGTGTACTAACAGAAAAAGGATTTGTCACATTAATTTAACTTGCAGGGCAGACTGATGAAAATACCAGAGTGATGAAAGCCAGGCGTTAAGAGGTGGAATGTGACATTCCAGAAATGCCTGCAGCATCCTCTTCCACAATAAAATCTACAAAACGAAACCAGATCCCTTGACTGAAGTACCAGAGACGCGGCTCCCTACCCACATGCTCTGTCTTAGAGGGGTAAGCACGGGTCTCTCCAACAATTTAATGTTTTTGTTGGTTTTAGAAAGGGCTACTTTTTCCTTTCTGAGATAGTTAAGAGGGTGCAATTGTTACCTTGGCCTTAGTATATTCCTTTTTGGGGGGCTGTTTTTTATTTTGGTGCATAGCAAGTCAGGTCTCTAAGAGCAGACTAAATTATGCTTTCAAGGAAATGCACAAAGCGATTGTTTACACTGAAGTACCCATTTAAGCACCACACAATTTCTTAAGTATTTTATTCATCTAACTGCTGTAAAACGTGGCATTCTCTTAAATAAAGTGGGTTTGAATATAAAACAGAGGCTTCTACCGACTCTTGCAAGCCTCAGAATTTATGGTTCTAAGATGAGCTACCCATGGGCCCAGGTCTTTTCTTCCTCCCTTCCTCGGGCAGAAACCCTTCAGGCTTCCAGGGCACCTCAGAGCCAGGGTCTGTGCTCGGCCCCAATCCTTCCTGGAGATCACATCCTGGTGCTTACTTCCCAACTGTCCAGTTCCTCTCTTAGGGTACTGGCTGAAAAACTGTTTGCAAAGGGATTTGAGGAAAATGCCAGTGGGCTAGACTCTTCCTCACTGATCTGACTGCTCCTGACCATTAAAAAGAGAAAAGCTTTCTTAGGACACACAGCTCAGCACCCACAGGTCAAGGCCACTGTGGAATGCTGGTGCTAAAGGGATCTTGCAGATCCTCTGAACTTACAAGATGAGGAAGCCGAGTGTCAGAGAAGTTACGACATTTGTTCAAGGACAGAGGTAGAGGCAACATCGTAACTAGAACAACAAATAACACCTCTGGGTGCAGAAAATCTGCTAATTTCTAAGTGTATACAGAAGAATAAGAGACAGCTCATACCATAATCAGATATGTGATTGTTTTATGATGTGGCTCATTTCATAACAAACATTTGAAAACAGAGGCTGAGAAAGGCATTTTGAAGTAACAGGATGTTGTAATGTATTTGGGGGATGTCTGGAAAGTCTACCCGGAAAGGTTCTGGGAGCTGTGGAGAAGAGGCAGGAACCAAGGTGGAGAGGTTGGAACGGGGCTTTGTGGGAAACTGAACTGCCCTCCGGGCACTGGGGACCATCAGACGTGGCACAGGAGCAGAGATGGACAGGAAGTAGCTGTGGTTACAGGGATGACGGCTGGAGTGAGGAATTAGCACATAGACCAAAGCTGGAGCTGCGGCTGGGGATGCGGTCTCTGAGAAACAGAAGGGTCCAGTGAGAACCAAACACAGAGAGATCACGGGAGAATGTTCCGGGTGCTGGGGAGGAGGAAGCAGCAGACCTGGAACAAAGGCAGGCAGATGGAGGAGAGGGGAGTAGGCCGCAGATGGTAAAACGAGGAAGCGGTCACCAGTGCAAAAGGCACGGAAAGGACCAGAAGGAAGCGTGAGGACTGGAAAACTCAGTGTTCTCCGGAAAGCTAAGTAACAAGTTGGAACAGAGGTGGAGGGAGAAGCCTGTTAGCCGCCCACTGCACAAAGCCAGTCTTCCCTCTGCTCACTGACGCATCCCAAGGGCCCAACAGAAGCAGATTACGACATCTTGTGGAATGAGTGACGCACACAACAGGGTGACAGAGGAGGCCATGAGGAACCGAGACTCTCTCAGGAAGTCTGAGCTGAAGGGAGAACGCAGCCCAACGCCAGCCAGGGCTGGCAGGGCTGGGGCAGATAAGCTTGAGGGCAGTGGTGGAGAAGCCCCAGACTGCCTGTGTTCGGGGGAAGAATGCTCAGAGGCAGCCTGGAGACGCTGAGGCCGAAGGGGGTCACTGGTGGTGTGGCGTGGTCCCAAGGGAGAGGACATGGGGGCACAGGGGAGCCTCCCTGCTCTGAGGAAACGGGGCGTTACTGAGTTAGGTCCGTGCAGGAAGTGAGATGCAGTAATTCAGTCCTGTTCTCTTTTGTTCAGAGGAGAAGGCAGCGTGCGTGCGGAAGGAGGCGCCTGTGAGTGTGAGGCCATCTGAGAAGGGGGTGAGGGGACTGCGGTGAGCAGAAGCCAGGAGAAAAGTTGGTGACGCCTCCTGGGATGCAGGAAGGACCCGAGGCCGCCACACAGCAGGTGCAAGGTGCAGGGCGGGCACTGTGGCTCGGTGTCCGGCCCTTAAATCAGGCTGGGAGCGGGGCTCAGTGACGGGCATGCTGATGTGGAAGCTCGGGTCTAGGAAATCTAAGGTGGGAAGGACAGAGAGCTTGTTCGCCAGAGTACAGACCTGTGCACCAATGACCTTGGCCAAATCATGGGTGCTTGTGAGTTTCTGCACTGATGACCCAGGAATGATAATTCCTCTCACGAGGGGCTGCTGAAAAGATTAAATAAACAGTACAAGCGAAGGACCAGTGTAGAGCCTGTTACCTGACAGGGAAGCTACTGCTGTTACTACTGTTAACGATAGAACCAGGTTTCAAAGAGCACAGAAGGGTAGGGGCCCTGCTGTGATTTTCTTTTCATCCATTCATTCATCTGTCCCTGCATCCATTCACTGGGTGTGTACTGACCACTTGACATGTGCAGACGCTCGGAGCATGGCGGTGAGCACCAGGAAAATGTCCCTGCTCTGAGGGAGAAGCCAGTGAAAATGCAGAGCCCTATGTAATCTAACCTTGTGCTGTGAGAAACACCGCAGAATACAGGTTCCGGGGAGCCCAGAACCCCAGTACTCCTCCTGTCACACTGAACCCCTCTTCTCAGATTTCTGTAAAAGACTAGCTTCCCCCCCGGAAGACACTGCCGCCTCTACCCCTCACCTCCAGCGACAGCAGCTGCTCTGTATGGGCACAACGGCAACTGTGTTTCAAGACCAAGATTACGGGAAGAGAAATGACTCTCAGCTGCCTAGGGCTTCCTCTGGGTTCCGGGGTCTTCTTGGGGACAGTGAGGCCTCCACTGCCTTCGCAGAGCGAGGCCCAGGCAACAGCATCAGCCCCACTGCCAGCTCGTCAGAAGGCAGATTCCTGGGCCTGACCCGAGACTGACTGAATGCGCAACTCTGCAGCCCAGCAGCCTGTGTTTCTGACCCTCTGAGTGATTCTGACAGAGAGGAAGGTTTGGGAGCCTCTGGGTAGCAGAAGTGTTTACTTAGGGGCTGGGGGTGCAGCCAGTGGTAGCACGCTTGCCTGGCATGTGCAAGGCCCTGGGTTCAACCACTGCAGTGCAAAAAGAAACGATTTAATACGAGAACAAAGTCAGAGTGACTAGTGCTCACGCGGCGTGGCAGGTTATAGACTCTGTACTAGCGTCTTCACGGGCGCGGCTTATGAATCCTTGGAAGGGCTGGGCACTCAAATCTCCCCTTGAAGATGAAGCGGCGAGGCTCAGAGCCCCAAGAGTCCCTAAAGTCCAAGCTGAGGAGCGGCAGGCCAGGGCTCCAAGTCCAGTCTTTCCGACTCCGCCTCAGCATCTCCCCACACTGTCACGGTCATCGAGCTCATTCTGCTAAGAAGCTCTGGTCTAGACCTTCACTCAGTGCACACCCACGGGCACGTGGTCTCTCCACCCGCCTCCCTGGACCCTGGATCCTCTGCTGATAGAGGGACATATTGTTTGCATCTTGGAAATTGGCTCATCCTAGTGAAATATGTTAATATCAAGTTTTTTTATTTGAAAATAATAGTAGACCTAAAGGAAAATAAGTGACCATGATGTTCATAAACAAATTAAGTTCCCCAAACCATGACAGACCTATTTACTTAGCAAATTAATAAATATCCTCAAAATTTTGGGAAGTAACTGAGGATTGTGCTAAAGAACAAAATAAGCAGGGTGATCATGCGTAAAGAAATCAGCTTGAGAACGAAACAGCACCATCTAGTGAAAAGGGAAATGCTTTCTCCTGAGGACGCTCACACTCCTGTTCCCAGAGCCTTCAGACCCCGCTGCTTCTCCACCTCCGATCCCCCTCTTCTTTCCAGAGGAGACGCCACCTCTCTCCTGGGCCTCGGATATGAGGACTTCCGCAAGTTCTAGCGCAGTTCCCAGGAACCAGAATTGCGACTCTTGCTGTACCCTGACAGCCTTGTTTCTCAGGTCAAAGAATTCAGTGCTGCTACGATTCGAGGTCCTCATCCCAAACTTGGGGGTCAGCAGGAAAACAGAGTCCCCACACCAAGGAATTATCTGGACCCAAATATCAACAGGGCTGCTACTGAGAAACACTGCCCCCGACAGAATGGTTTCACATCAACAAGACCATTGAATGGCAACTGTTGCTGGGCACCGTTCTGACGCTGGGAAAGCAGAAGTGAACTAAGCGTGCAGAAATCTCTCTCCTCCTGGAGTTTGGCTTCAGTGGGAGGAAAATGGCTACAGACAAAGCAATGTGGTGTCAGAGGCTACGGATTAATATGAAGAAGGGTAGGAGACAGCACCTGTCAAGGCTGGGATGAGGGCTTCTTTGGATAGAGTGGTCAGAGAAAGACAATGACAGTTGATAAAAGATGTGAATGAAGTGAGAGGGCAAGAATTACCTGGAGGAAGAGCCTTCTAGGAACAAGATCAGTCAGTGCAAAGGCCCTGAGGTGGCAAGTGTCTGTTTAAGTCAAAAGCAAGAGAGAGGTGAAGAGAATGCTCTGCTTTCCTTCTGTCCCTTCAAGACAATTATTACTGGGACAATTCCGTGTAGGGCACGGTTTCTCAGTGGCAGCACTGGTGACACTTGGGACAGATAATTCTTCAGTGTGCGTTGGAGCATTTTAGTCACTACCTTGACCTCTATTCACTAGACGCTAATAGCACCTGCTCCTTGCCTCAGGACAATCAAAAGTGTCTGTGGACATTCCAGTGTCTCTTAAGAGCATCTGATGAGAGCCACCAGGAGAGGGCAGGCTAGGTGAGCTGCTACAGCGTTCGTCAGCACCGTCATTCTTTATAAACTCCTCAGAACAGGTGCTTGGTAACGAAAAAGAGGACTATATCTAAATGAAAACTAAGCAATATCCGGAGTCACCGATAAAGCCAAAAACTTCAACAAGTTACTATTTGATTAAAATAAGTAATGACAATTGTGCAAGGACTAAAAATTATTACATACGACTGATTTGTCTTAATTATTATATCTGAGAATAAGCACAAAAACATGCCAAGGCCCCGAAGCCAGACCTCCAGAAGCATAAAGGAAGACCCTGAGCGCATCATATGTGTGGTTGAAAGAACAGCCCTCTTTGATCTGACTGAACTGATTTAATTTAAATTCTAACTTAAAAGCATGTGAACCGTATCCAACACCTGATAACACATATTGCCTTTGGACAATATATACCTTGGAAAGTTTCACAACTTGGTAATTTTTTAAATGATTGATTTCTTGCTATTCTGCATCTTTTTCTGGAAGACCTTGGCAAGTTTCTAATGTCTAAAAATTTCTAACAAGTTTTTGGAATAAGTTCAATAAATAAAGAACTGAAAATTCTGTTCTGTCAATAAAAGTGTATATTAATTTGTTCGAAAAATGTGGAGCTCCTTATATTTTCACAAGTGATGCAGGACCCCAGACCAATTTATTTTAATGTTTTAGGCTCTGATATAGCAGGCTTTGGGGGAAATGGCTCCAGCTAATAGAAAAGATTTCCCCTTTTTGATTTTGGTTTAAAAACAAAAATTTTATTACCTTACCTTTGTCTATTAATCATGTAACACTTAATGCTTTTCCCTTAAAAGAAAACATTGAGCCAAACCGCTTACAAATTCAGATTCAGGACTTCTCACAGCATACCTTTAGGACGAAGCAGTGGTCTGTGGGTGCTTTGTACTTCATTTTGCACTGAACCCCGTAGTAAATGTTGACGTTTTCAAACTGTATAAAACAGGCCAGATCGCGAGATGTCTGAAAGAGAGGAGAAGAGACCCCACTGGGAGGACAGCCAAGCTTTCCAAGGTCGTTCTTGATGGCACCAGAAAGGGCTGCATTGTAGTAGAGAGCATACTGAATTTTCAGAGGTTGATAGGAACGTCTATCTACCCTACGTACTGGCGCACTCTCAAAGCCTACTGAAAAGATGAACGAGAAGGGACGGCTCCCCTGGGCCTCGCAGGACGAGGGGAGGGCGACGCTGCGGCCTAAGCGCCTGAGGACTCCCGCGTGGGGTCGAGTCCACCGACCCTGAGATGCCCGCCGGGGACTCAGCCTGGCGAGGCGACCAGCTCGGGGGTCACCTCCGCCTTTGACATTCTAAGTCAGCGAGGGGTTCTGTGATCGAACATTTAAAAAAAATTCCTCTCAGTAAGAACAAGGAGAGGTAAATTCGGTGCTCAGTAAATTAGTACGCACTCCACGCACTTCTTCCCGAGAAAAAGGCTTCCTGTCCTACTGCCGGGGGCTGCACGGTTGCCATGGAAACAGGCCTTTCCTCCGTGCGATCTCTAATCTGCTCACACTTCAATTGTGCATTTGTACATTATTCTTGTTCCTTTTGCATTCTATAATTCTTTATAGTTAGTGAATAAAGAATAAAAGGTAGAACTCCTACACCCAAGGGCACAATTTTTCCTTTATCTCTTATATTTTATCTGGGTTTTTTTTCTGTGCCGAGGGTGGAGCCCAGGCCTTCGCATTTTAGGCAAGTGCACCACCCGAGCTACAGTCCCAGCCCGAGCGAAAGTCTGAGGCCGTCAAGGAGATTTTCCTACAGTCACCGTTTCCTGGCTTGGTCTTCTTTTTATTTATTGGTAGGGGGCTTGAGGTACATAATGGTCACAGTCCTTGTGTGGAAGGGACATGCACGTAACACATCTTAATTCGGTTTTCACCCCCTTCCCCTCCTGCCCCTCCACCTCCATCTCTCTCTCTCTCTCTCTCTCTTTCTCTCTCTCTCTCTCTTAAAGACAGGGTCTCGTTACATAGCCCAGGCTGGCCTCAAACTCACGGTGATCCTCCTGTCTCAGCCTCCTGAGTGCTGGGATTACAGGCATGCACACCCTGCCCAGCTTCCTCTGGACCCTCTTCTCATTTGAGAAAGATCGGTCTCCCTACTTCCTATTATCTGTCTTTTATTTTGCTATTTATTTATATTTTGGGTTTCTCATACGAGAGAAACATGCAGTATTTAGGCTTTGTGTCTGATCTATTTCACGGTCTCAAGTTGTTCTTCCTCTTAACATTGTATCTCAGGGCCTTTCTACATCGGAACACATTTTATGGGTGCACAGCCTTCCCTTACAGGGGTAACAGTTTATTTGTAGCCATTCTACCCTAGGTGTTTAGAGGTTATTTCAATATTTTGCTATCATAAGAAATACTGTGCAACTGAACAAATATTTGTTGGGTGGGTTGCCAAACATGTAGCTGCTATTTGAAAGGTGTGCCCCTTTTACATTGCATAGGTCTTGCTAAATTGGCCCCAAATTTGACTGAACCAGTTTACTTTCCTACCTTTTTTCTTCTTGTGTAAGTTTTTTCACGCAGAAGGTGCTTGCTTGCTTGCTTGCTTTCTTACTTTCTTTCTTTCTTTTTTTTTTTTTTTGTGGTACCGGGGATCAAACTCAGGTCCTTGCCCTTTCGAGGCAGGTGGTGGAACCACTGAGCTAAATCCCCGGCCCTGGAATGTGTTTTCTCATCCATATCCATCAACACTGGGTAACAGTGTCACTGTTATCAATCCCCTGGGAGGAAATAACAGCTCACTATTTAATTTCCACTTTCCCAATGACTAATGAGATAGAACAACGTTTCCGTTTTTCATTTTGTGGTGCTGGGGATCAGACCCACTTTCCTAAGTGCTTTCCTACAGAGCTGCACCCTCAGCCCCAAAGAGAACTTCTGTTCTGTAGCTGTCAGTATTTTTTTTTTTGGTGCGTTCTCACCTAACAAGCTTCATTTGTCGTTTTTCCTTCCCTTCCTCCCTGTCCTCCTCCCCTCCTCTTCTGTCTCCATCTTCCTCCTTCCCTTTCCCCCTCTTTCTCCTTGTCTTCTGCTTCCTCCTCTTCCTTTGGTCTCTGTCTCTCCCTTGCCTCTCTCTGCCTTTTCTCTCCCTCTGTCAACGCGACCAGAGCTGTGTATATGCCAGAGAAGGGCTGTAGCACGGAGCTATACCCCCAGGCCTAAATTATTATTTGTCTGAGGTTTTTTTCTTCTTTCAAATGGGCTTTTGCTGTGTTGTCCAGGCTGGACTTGAACTTGAGAGCTCAAGCAATCCCCGTGCCTCAGCCTCTTGAGTAGCTGGGACTACAGATGTACGTCACATGCCAACACCATGGTTTGCCACTTTTTTTTACATTTGTCTCTTTCTAGTCGATTTGCTGAAGTCCTTATGTATTATGAATACTTGTACGTGGCTGTATGTGTCGTAAATCCGGCCTCTAACTCTGGAGCTGGTCTTCAACCTCTTAACAGCAACTTCATACAGTCCAATGCGTCAGTTTCCTCCTTTGTAATTTTGAGTTTTATTTTTGATCAAGAAAGCGTTTTTCCACCTCAAAATTATAAAAAATATGAACCTATATTTTCTTCCATGATTTCATACTATTTTTCTAAGTATATATTAATCAATCTAGGATTTAATTTGGTACATGGGAAAAGATGGGAAGCATTTTTCCCAAATGATATATAATATTTTAATGCTATTGAAAGAAATATTGTTTGCTCCCTGCTGTAAATTGCTGTTTAATTTTCTTTAGCTTAGATGGCTTTCTTTTGATCTATTCACCCCTTTCTAGAATGTCTGACCACTGGGAGAAGGAGTTCTAGCTCATTGCTTTTTATAATTTTAGGGGTCTCTTGGAACAGGATGTCTTTCTGGTTAATCTTAGAATCAGGCAGTGAATTTTAAATATATGAATCTTACTGAAATTTTAAAAGACATCGCACTGATTTATAGGAAAATTCCGGCAGAAGTACCTATCATCTAGCAACACGGTATGTTTGTATTTCTGCAGTTCTGTTTTACTTTAATCTTATAATTTATGCTGTACACATCTTGAACTTTTCTTAAGTTTACTGCTAAGTATTTTGTATTTTTCGTTCCTACTATACATGGAATCTTTTGCATCATATTTAATTCGCATATTGTTTGTGTAAAGGAAAACAAGTTCTTATCTGGTACATTTATTTGGTCTTAATAGATTTTCCTGTGTTGCTGGCAGGTGGTCATGGCAACTGACTTTTTGCCTCTTCTTTTTTTTTTTTGGTCCTGGGCATTGGACTCAGGACCTCGCGCTTGCGAGGCAGGGGGCACCACTGAGCTACATCCCCGGCCCTTGCCTCTCTTCTACACTTCTTATTTATTTCCTTGACTTCCTGGTCAATTGCTTCATACCAGTGTTAATGGAGGCAGCAAGACAAGGCGTGATTGTCCAAGTCCAGCCTGAACCCTTAATGCGCATCACTTAGTGCACTGTTTCTTATGGACTTATTTATACGCCTCAGTTACACTTAGGACTGCAAGGCCTAAAACTTACAAAATAAAACAAGTTATTTGTGGGCCAACTATTATGTGCCCAGGGTAGGACTGGATGTGCAAGTGTCAATCAGCCCTGCGATGAGGAGCAGAGGAAGGGGCTAATGGGGCAGTGGCTGCCCGCACTGGGTTCCTCAGGCCCCTCCTGTCCCCCACCGACCACAGAGCCTCCTCTGGGGAAGGATGAACCCTGGGCAGAGGAAGCCTGCGGCGCCTAAGTGTGCCACGTGGTGGTGTCCCGGATTCGAGTTAGCCAGGGTCGATGAGCTTCATCTTAGAGCCTTTTAAAGGTGCACAGAAGCAAGAACTACCCAATCCTCTAAGAGCGGTCTTGGGAAAAGCTGATGATCAGAATGAACACTACAATTACATTTCAAAGAAGGAAAATTTAATACGTGCTAGTAGATCTGAGGCAATAATCCCAACTCACGAAGTTAAGTGATAGCTAAAATACTCTGCCAAAGTAGGCAGTGAAATGTACATGATACACCTCAGAGAACGATTTAAATATTCAGAATACAAGGACTAATATCTCACTGAAGATTGTTCAAGATTTCAACCACTTCTACGATTCCAGGTAAAATAAGTTTTACCACAATGAACAGGAGAGCAGGACAAGGGGAAAAGTCTTCAGAGATATACATAAAGTTACAAAACAATCTCTATGAAAATGCGTCTACCATAACTTTTGAAACTTGATTTTTTAAATGAGTAATTTTTTTTTACTTTCAAGAGAGCTATGGGAAAACTCCAACGAGTTTCAGTAGTTCTGTCCCGAAGGGTATGTATCTGTGTGGACACTGGTGATAAGGGTGTATTTAAATTGCTACTGCAGGGTTCCTGTAATTCCAGTTTCATGAAATGCTTTCTTGCCGAAATGCCTTTGTGTTTGTTTTGCTTTTTGTCACTTTGTTAGTGTTTCCCCCTAACTTCCAGAGTTTGGATCTGCAATGTTCCCTGAAGACCCGTATGTGGAAGGCGCAGCCCCAGCCCTGGCGTCAGTGGGAGTGGCAGTCTGTGGGGGTGTGGCTTAGAGGGAGGAAGTGAGGTCACAGGGGGCGTGGCCCTCAAGGGGCCACCAGACCATGGCTCCTCTCTCTATTCTTCTGCTCATGCAGCGAGGCCTCCTCCTGCAAGTGCTCCTCCCCTGACTGTGGTGCCTGCTGCTGGCCCAAACAGTGGCCAACAGGCCCTGCACTGAAACCTTCAAACCATGAGCCCAAATAAGCCTTCACTGTAAGGCAGCTTATTACCGCAGGCATTTTGTTACAGTAATAGAAAGCTGATGGATGCACTGACCTTTGTCTTTCCTTTGGGTACATAATAAATTCCAGAAGCCCGTAAAAGAAAATAGCGCCTTTTCCAGGCTTTCTTTCCATCTTCTTTCAGATAAAGAGCTCCTTCGAGTTCTGGTACAATGATAGACGTTCCACAGAAACTTTCCTGAAATTGAGATTCCAAAGGCATAAAACACATGAAAGATAAAACACACGTTCTTGTTCACATTTTATTTTGAGACAGGGTCTCACTATGTAGTTCAGGCTGGGCTTGATCTCCTGATCCTCCTGCCTCAGCCTCCCAAATGCTAGGATTATAAGTGTGCGCCTCCATTACATCCAGTCTTTTAGTTCAAATACTCAAACTTATTTTTTGGTTTCTTTTTATAATCACTATTCTTTTTTTTGTCTCATAAATGCAAAATAACTTAATTTTGCATCCTCCAAGTATATTTATATATGGAAACATTTTTGTTCACATTTTCCCTCAATTTCCCCTCATGTAACTAGTCCCCAATTTAAAGACACTAATTTCTAAGCTGCTTAGAAACAAATGGCTGTATCAGGACAATATTCTCTTCCCGTGTCCACTGGTCTCCATTGCAGCTCGATGTGCTCGGGATCCCGTGTCCTCTCTCGGGACACCTGCTGCCCAGCGCTTCCCAGTTCAGCCTGGAGTCGCACTCGGTAAGGACAGGGTGGCTGCACCCGTTTCCACCCTGGCCCTCTGGGGTCTGCTTCACTGGATCCAGGGCTGCTGGAGCCCGGCAGGGGCAGGGGTCCAAGCAGGACCCGGTAAAGGAAAGCGTGCTCCTGGCTCCAGGGAGAGCGAGAGCCGCGGCATCTCCAGGCCTTCTGACTTCTGAGAGAAACCCACCCCACTAACCCCAGAAAAGATCAACACTCCGTTAAGGAGGGCGGGGCAGCAGGAGAGACCTGTCCCGGCTTCCTCGCCGTCTGCCTGTGGCCTGTGTTTGTTCCAGCTGAGCAGAGCCCTGATTCCTAGCATAGTTACTACACAGTTCGTAGGAGTTTCCAAAATTCAGCTGTCAAATGAACCTTGGGACCACCGCCTAACAGTAATCACCATGGATACCTGAGCTCCCACCACCTCCCCGAGTCTAAGCTCCGTGAAGATCCAGTGTAGTCGGAACTGATGCCCCCAGAGGGTGAGGCACGGGCTCCATCACCAACCCTGTCTCAGCGCCAGATCTCACACGTCCTGCCAAATGCAGCTGCTGCCTGGGAGAGCATATCCGAAGATTTAACGAGTGAGTATATGCTGCTTCCACACCTTGTGGAGAAGTGGTACCTGGCCATGGCGATCTTAATTCTTTCCTTTCATTCCCTTTCCCTTCCTTCCCTCATCTCTTGATTCCTTTCTCTTTTTAGAAAGATCTACCTCCCTACTTCCCATTTTTTCCTTTTGCCCTTTATTTATACTTTGGTTTTCCCGTGTAAGGGAAAGCATGCGTATTTTGGCTCGTGTGTCTGCTTTTTAAAACTTAACATTCCAGTCTCACAGCGCATTCAGAAGATTTGGAAATCCTCATCTGACTTCTGAGGAGCACTTAAATGAAGGAATGTATGGAATGTGAGCAGATGAGTTTCATGAAGATTCACAAGTCTTTTTAGCAAAAAATCACTAATTCAAATTCATGAAAATCACACTACCTTATCTAAAGCTGCACTTTATTACAACTGATGCAGAGAATCAGTTGAATTGTCTAAATAGCTGTATTTAATAATGATGTGATTTTCAAATCCCAACTTAGAATTTCAGTCCCTCAGCATTTCCCACTGTTCTGCAGAGTGAATAACTTAAAATAGATGAAGCAAACGTCCTTCCGCCTCTCCTCTGGAAAATTAAGCTTACCTCAAGTAAGGATTCTTTGTTCTTAGCATTCATTTTCTCATTGGTTTTCTTGCCTTCTTTCTTTCCTTTGTTATCCAAGTAGAAATTCTAAATTAAATGTTAAAAGATCGGATCAGTAAGTTCGTTACTATGCCAGCACTGCAAGAAACTCACGGGCTTGCCGGAGAGAGGCAGACCGGTGTGGATCCGTCGGCCGGAGGTCTGGCACCTGGTCACGGCCAAACAGGAGGACTTCCCGGCCTCTCATGCCCACAGTCAATGAGGAAGTAGACAGACAGGGAGCACTGGGAAGAAAAATCCCCTTTAATTGTGAAGTTCCACATCCGAGAGCACGGAGGAGGCCAGGACAGCCTCATGCTCTGGGAAGAGCCTTGGACTAAGGAACAGCATCACTGCGTGTGCATCATTTACCGACCACATTCCCTACGCGCCACCACCCCGACTGGCGAAATAGGCCACCTCACTGCCGGATTTCCAAAAAGAAAAGAGAGAAAGATGCACACACTCACACAAGCGCGCACACACGCACAAGCACAACCTTGTGTGGCCAGGATACAGGGCATGGCTCTGTCCCGGGCAGCTTGCCACAACTGCCAGGCACAACGTGGTGCTCAGAAAAAGCCTCTCAGCGATGAAGGAAGAGCCCCGGGAAGTACTGCTTAATTAGCTATACATAAGAAGTGACTTAACCTTTTGCCATTCCAAACACGTTTACTGCTCATTTTTAAAGATGAGCCTTCCTCCCCTGCCAAAATGTAACTGTGTTGTAGCTTTGAAATTAAGCAGAAAAACTAACAAACAAAACCCAGTGCTGGTGACGATGTGCAGCACATTCATTTCATTCTGGACAAAGCCTGAAACCAGTTTTCAGGGCTATGAAGAGCATCGAATTCACCATTTTCAAAGCTTGTTTAAAGACTATGCAGCAACTTCGTTGTTTTTCCTATATTCAAAATCTGCGGACTTTCTCCTCCCATGACCTGCTCTGAATCCACCAGAGTCCCCGAGGAGCAGCGAAGGCTCCACCCTGCCACGCCGTGTCTTCAGCCCCCACGGAAGCCGAGGCCTCCTCTGCCTCTGGAGCTCCAGCTGTTTCAGCATTGAATCGTCTCCCTCCAGCCCAGGTTGGTCTTTGTTCTCCCTGTCATGGCGAGAAGCGCGGTAGCATCAAGGGTGCTAGCTCTGCCTGCGTAGCGCGTACATCTCCATCAGCATTTCCTTCACTGCTCTGGGTACCAACCCCGGAGTCCCGCCTGACTTCTCCATTTACAGGCTTCTCTTCGCTTAAGTTTAGGATGAAACCTGTCAGTCTCCTCTGATAAGCTGCGCACCTGCACTTTCAAAGTCAAAGGCTTTCTCGAATTTCCCCGGACCGTCTCCCCGAACAGCGAGTCTTCCCCGCCACCTCGGCGACCTCCACGGCCTCTCCTCAGAACTGAGCAGCATCTGGAGCGCCCTGTCTCTCGCTGCCATCTCCGAGGTGCTCATGCTCTCCATTCTCTGTTGCTTCTGGCTGGCAGCCAGGCAAGGCCGCTCGGACAGGGCTCCTTCCCGGCAGGTGCTGGGGGAGGGAAGTGGCCCCGCAGTCTGCACTGCCTGTCCCGTGGGCGGACCTTCCTCAGAGGGTCCATCGGAGGGCTCGGACTGAGGGAACCGTTCTGGTAGGTCTCTCTCCTGGGTGAAGGCAGAACTGCCACACCGCTTTGGGATAAGGTACCACTGGCTGGCGTGTGTGTTCCAGGGATGGCATGGCGTCAGCAACAGCAGCAGCAAACTCGGTCCGACTCAAGAACGTGGGCTGAACTGGCTGGAGGCTGGCATCCTGCCGGAAGGTCTGTAGGCACCGCCAACTGGGATGAAGACACAGATGACCCCACTGAGGGCTGAACAGCAAGCAGCTGGGTCCTGAGGCAGCGAGGTCTGTAGTATCGCACCCACAGAACATAATGTTGGCAGTTCAACATCTCAAGATGGCATCCTCTATACCTCAGGACTGAACTTTGGTGATGCCACGGTGGAGTTCTTAGTGGTGGCAGCAGCCCATCTGTACTATTTTGAACGAAATAATTTCCTTGTCTTTTAGGGCTGTATAGTATTCCACGGTTTTCTTTATCTCTTCATCCACTGATGGACAGTAGAGATGTTTGTGTATTGGCTCTTTTGAATAATGCACCAATAAACATGGGAGTACTGATGTCTCTTTGACACATCACTTTAAATTTCTTTTTATATATACCTGTAAGTGAGACTGCTTGAGCACATGGCAATTTAGTTTTACTTTTTTTTCGGGAATCATCATACTGCTTTCCAAAATTCATTTCATAATGTACATTCCCACCAATGGTCCACAAAATTCCCTTTTCTCCACATCCTACTATCATTTTTTGTTTGTTTGTTTTTTTTGAGACAGTCTCACTATATACTTCAGGCTGGTCTTGAAGTCACTACATAGCCCAGGCTGGCCTCGAATTCATGGCAATCCTCTTGCCTCAGGCTCCCAAGTGCCCGGATTAGAGGTGTGCACCACCATGCCTGGCTCTATGCTTTTGTTTTGTTTCAATGAAAAAGCAAAAACACAAAGTAAATCTGTGTTGGAAGACATTCCTTAGAACAAGGCTGATTTCCTTGGGTTAGAACTTTCACCTGTATGTATTCAGCCAGCTTGCTTTAGGCTCCTCTGCAGCAAGCAGTGAAACTCAAAAGGTAATCACTGTCATTTGCAAATAGAGACCAGAAAAATTGGAGCTGAGTAATAAGGAAACTTTACAATAGGAAACGTGACTTTTGGTCACAGCTTGGTCCCTTTTCTCACAGCTTTGGGAGTTTGAGGTTTGGGGACTGCTGGATAGGAAAGAAATGGAAGAAGTATGTGATGGTTAATCGTGACCAGCCACCTGAGTGGAGTGAGAAATGCCCAGAAAATGAGTACAGCACATGGTGGGGTATGCGTGGGGTTTCCAGAGATGGGTGGTGCACGGCCAGCAAGCCGACTGGGGAGACACCCTGCGCGCGGCAGCACTGTCCAAGGGGCTGGGGCCTGGGCGGGACGGAAGCAGAAGGAGGCCCAGTCTCAGTCTCTCTCCTCTCCTCTCTCTCTCTCTCTCTCTCTCTCTCTCTGCCACCGTGAGGTAGGCAGCTTTGCTGTACCCCACTCTTCATCATGATTTCCTGCCTCACCATGGCCAGAAAGAATGGAGCCAGTGTGGTTTTGGCCTTGGGCTGAAACCTCTGAAATGTTGAGGCAAAAGAAATGTTTCCTCCTTTAAGTAGATTCTCGCAGGTATTTTGTCACAGAGGCAGAAAGCTAACACAACGAGTGAGTCAAGCAAACAGCTACCAGTCCCTCAATGAATATTTCTGAGGACCTTTTACACACAGAAAATATCTCCGCTCTTAAGAACTTGCTGTCACCTGGAGAAGATAGATGTAAATGAGATGGACGGACAGGTGGCTACACAGCAATACATGAGGTGTGCCACTACACAACTTTCAGGCGAGTCAAGCTCTATAGACTTTCAAAGAGGAAATTACTGTGGGTTGACATGTTCAAGGAAAACTTCAGAGAGGAGGTCAAAGCTTGACTGAGGCATTGAAAGATATTCAATATCCAAATGGGAGCAAACAGAATAAAGATATTATTTTGGGCAAGAGAAGAAAAAGCCGTGTGCAGAGGCACAGAGGTTGGATAGGAAAGAAATAGAACAAATATGTGATGGTTAAATATTAGGTGTCTTTGGAGACCAGTGAACAACTAGCTGGTTAGGGCTGTGGGACTAATTCAGCCCACCCGAGCAGACCATTGCTCCCAGTTCTCTTTTTTCTTGCACCACAATTGTTATGGTTTGCATCTAGATGTCCCCTGAAGCCTCATGTGATCACAGGTGGAGCTTTTTCAGAGGTGGCTGAATCTAGAGCATGTGATGCTGAGATTAAGGGTGTGTGATTACTAAATCAGTCCACTGATTGGTCTGGCATCACCCTAATGCTGGTAGCCTGGACACAATATAAGGGACAGGGAAAAGCTTGTCTTGTTTCTTGTTGCTTTGCTACCTGCTGCCTGCCATGAACTATTTCTCCTCTGCGATGCCTATCTGCCATGCCACCCTGCCTCAGAGTCAGCTGATGATGGACTGAAACCTCTACAAACTGTGAGCTAAATAAACCTTTCCTCCCTTTACTTGTGGGTGTTGGGCATTTTCTCTCAGCAATGAGAAAAGTAACTAAGACAAAATTTGGTAGCAGAAGTGGGGTCGTTGTGACTGTACCTGACCATGTGGTTCAGGAGCCTTTGGAACTGGCTTGTGGGAAGGGGAAGAGTTAGGGGAGGTTTGGAGATGCCAGCAGAAAAGTAGAGCCGGACTGCCTTAGACTGTACTTGGTGGGAGAATTTGGTCAGAACTCAGAAGACCAGAATGCTGATAGAACTGACGCTGGTAAAGACCAGGCTCGGGAGGTTTCTGTTGGGAAGAAGGACTGCGTTGCTTTTGGACTCCAGACCATGCGTGTTACGGCTTGGCAGAAAGTCTGTCTGCATTTTGCTCATGTCCAGAGCCTTTGCCTGAGACTGAGATTTAAGGGTGGTAGGCTAATCTTGCAGAAGAAATTTCAAGGCAGTCTAATGTTGAGGCAGTGGCATGTCTACTGTTGAGAGCTTTTAGCCAGATTTATGTTGAGAATCAAGAGGAAAAAGCCCAGCAGAATGATTCAAAACATTGTGAGTTTGGCCAGAAAGGAAGCTCCAGTAGAGTTGCAGCCTGCAAAGATGGAACAGAGAAGGAATTGGTCACTGAAAAAACCACCAAAGAAAATCCAAGCATTTCAGAAGATGACAGCAAAGATGGCCTTAGGACATCACAAGAACTAACAGGACTCCACTGCAGCCTCAGTGTTGCAAAGGTGAAAGAATCTGCTTTGAGAAGAGAGCCCCACAGCACCATGTTCCAGAATGAGGGTGGCCTAGAGAATTTGTTCCTCAGGATTGGGTTCAGAGTGCTCAGTGATCTAGGCACCCTGCACCCCAAAGGAGATCCTGGACCCCAAAAAGAGAAGGAAGCCTGGCTCCTGCTCCAACTGGTAGCAGATGTTAG